CCATTTTGAATGAGAGCAATAGAGCTCCGTGTTCAGTGGATAAGGGCGGAACAATGAACTAAAACTATGCTTATTTAACTTTATAGCTTTTCATAGACTGAACTTGGTTAAAATTTCCAAAACCTTTACCCTGGCTTCGCGAGAACTTAAATGGCTAACTGTGTATCGAGATTTTCAAATGATATCAATGCTTGCTCTTCTTTCGTAACAGCATGTTTCTTAGCAGGTTTGATCACTTTTTACATGTGGGGGACTATTTGACCACTAGATTGATCACATGCTTGCGAGAAAACTCATTTCTTTCGACTATTAAAACTCAAATTTTTAATAATCCTTTAACTAGAAACTACATTGATGCTAGTTAATTAATCACAATAAATGAGTCATTTAACAATCCCTTGTAGAACCAGACATATGCAAAACTTATGCTCATGCTATTTATTTTATATCTTGGACTATGTTTAGAATTCTACAATGAGGGACAAAAGTGTTGACACACTTCCGAAAAATGGCCCCTTTTTCCATAGTGGATATACTTATCCCCTTCCCCTGTCTACCCCAACCCCTTCCCCCCAAAATCAATGTTGAATTTTGGACCCTCAAGTCTTTTTTTTACTTCAGACAACATTGATTCGGGGGGTCGGGGGATTTACGGCGTTTAAAAGGAATGAAATAATAAATGAATTAAATGTTTGTTAAAAGCACCCGTTTTAAACAAGTGTGTCAACTACTTTTGTCCCTGATTGTCTGAAATATGTATCTGTGTTTTCCGGCTAGATTTTGGACGCTGCTGAATTTTTGTGCGATGATGTTACTCTATGGACCAAATTGTTTGTTTATAAACAACAATTTGAAAAGTTTGGTCCTGATTTGTAGTATACGTAGAGTAAAATGTACGAAGCGTATGTCATTACTTAATCTTGTACTCCCGCGCGCGTTCCTGATACCCTGTCGGGTCGAGAGGAAATCATTTGTGTTGTGATCAATGCCGCTGCTGCGGATGTAATTTTTTTTACAAGTATTATCAATAGTGGAAAAAGGATGGAAACACTAAGGTACAATGAAAATTGTTCTGGTAAATGGTTAACTTAAGCGAATGAAGTACTGCAACATGCAGTATTGTTGACATTGACTTGTGCCATTAGTGAAAGGACGTGAACAATATACAGGTTATGAACCTCATAAATGATGAGCCAGTCGTTTGTGCTATGCCCTATAAATAGATGTTTTTTTTTTTTGGAAGACCTTTTCAAATCTAGCAGATCCAAACCTTTAGCGTGTGTAGGCGTCGAACAGGTTAGACCAGGTTAGGAATGTACTTTTGTAATGATTTTAGATGACCGCCTGCCATTTATTCAGTGGCATTTTTTTTATTGGTGTTGGGTGGACAACTATTTCATTTCCCAGCTCGTAAATCACAGAATACCAAAGAAATTGTTTTCAAGATAGACACACCGGTTTGTATCATCTCCAAAACAGCAATTACTTTGGCCCAGAAGTTCACTTGATGACAAGGAAAGCGGGATAACACGTGATCGATGACGGCCGTGCTCTGGAAAATCTTCCTTTTTTATGCGCTAATTCCTCACAAAAGGCAAAAGAAGATTCCGCTATGTAGAAAGTACTGCGCAATACGTATTCTTGGCGAGAAAAATTCCAGCGATGTGGTGCAAATAAGGAGTTTCAACGGTTAACCACGAGAATACATATCGACATTAAGAGGTCATAACAGACTTACTATGTTACTTTCCGTTTGCCGAAACTTGGTTAACCGTTGTAACACGAAGGAAGCAGTGTTTTTCTCAGTTTGAGCTGTCGTTTTCTTTGAGAGTCAATCACCAGTTCACGTTTCAAAGCTCTCTTTTCATTTTCTCTCCCGACAATAGACAACAACACAGGGTTTCGCTTGAGAAATGCAGTCCAAATACACAGACATATGCGCTCATGTCACGCTATTTACGTTGCGTTATCATGTCACACAGGGTGTTACGAGGTGGGATTGAAAGTAATTGTTTTCGTGTACACTTGCAATGTTTGCTACGCAGTCCTTAGTTTTTTATTGAATTGACCATGAATTTACCCTCACTTTTCCGTAGTTTCGATATTGAACGCAGTGACGGCGGCTCCTCACTAACGTTCCATATTTCCGTGACTGGCCAGTGACTATCTCCACTACGTGTCAATCCTTACCCTCCCCGTGATTGTTTGCGCCTTAACAATCGGATAAAGTGAAGAACGAGAAATGTTCACTTTATTAAAAATATTTTCAGTACGCATACCCTTGAAATTCATCAAAAGTTGTACATGTGTGCGAGTTTCAGCGTCAGTTTTTAGCATGTAAACCATATCGACGTTTATTCTGGATATCGCAGCCCTTTTACAACGTCATCACTTAATTCGAATTGGCCCTATAATTCGGTCGTGAATAAGTCAATGTCACCCCCACCACCAATAACATAATTATGTCATAGATTCCTTTAATTTCAGTTAAAATCAGTGTCATACACGGCTCAACTTGTGTGCAGTAGCACAATTTTGCATTCAGACAATGAGGGACAAAAGTGTTGACACACTTCCGAAAAATGGCCCCTTTTTGCATAGTGGATATACTTATCCCCTTCCCCTGTCTACCCCAACCCCTTCCCCCCAAAATCAATGTTGAATTTTGGACCCTCAAGTCTTTTTTTTACTTCAGACAACATTGATTCGGGGGGTCGGGGGATTTACGGCGTTTAAAAGGAATGAAATAATAAATGAATTAAATGTTTGTTAAAAGCACCCGTTTTAAACAAGTGTGTCAACTACTTTTGTCCCTGATTGTAGATAGTTTCTTAGTGAGAAGCTTTATGTTTTAAAAGCATTGAATCGCTACATCCATCATTCCTGCCTTAACTTTCCTGTCTAGCTTTTCCCTAGAGTTTCTTCGCTTGAAATGATACCTCCATCCATCATTTCCTTCTTTTATGTTAGCTTCGGTCCTTCGTCTTGATTGTGGACGTCTCCTGAATATAAATAGATGGGCAAATAGACTAGCCACTAGCGGCAGCGCGTCACCCAAGCCGAAAATGAACTGGAAACTATTAAAAACACTCGAAAGGGGTTGGTACCTAGTCTGCGCTTTTCGCGGGAAATTGGCGAATAAAATTATCCGGTTCAATACACCATTGCTGTCAATTAATATTTTTGCTTTGTAAATGTACATACGGAAATGAATCCTTCTGTTAACGAAATACGCCGAAGGCAAAACCCTGACACCTTTAAACGGGAGGTCGCCTGGTTCGCGAAAGGATTTCGTCAGCCCAAAACAAGGCCTGAAATATCGGCATCAACAATCGATGCATTTCAGACCATGATCTGGGATAAACCCAGAGATGACATTTTACCAACGTTCGGTAAGTGCTCTCTTTTGCTATTAAAAAGGGTCCCGAATTAGGATATGTACGTCTAGCTTACGCCTGAATTACCTCTATCTGTTTGGAATATTCCCGATTAAAATTAAATTCCATTGTAATATAAACAAATAATAGATAATCAGTGTCTATGTTTCAGGAGTAGGAACTGGTTTCGCAAAGTCTAATCCTTTCTGCTTGTATGGGAAAGTAGTATCTTCACGGTCTCAACATACTCTCCCTGAAGAGATGGGGTGGGAGAATTACATTTATGACTTTGCAAAATAAATGACGTGACCTTAACCCAAGAGGATATTATATTTCAAAGGCAAAGTTACATCCAGTGGATAACAACGCAATTAAAAAAACTCTTTGATCAGATCTATTAATTAAAAAAAAAAACTTTTGGTCTCACATATTTCTATTGAACAAAAAAAAAATCGAACTAACAAATCATTTCCACAATCCCTATAACCTTGACTTCAAAACAAAAAACCTTGTCTCTGAAAGCAGATACTCTGGGAACATCCCTTTCGCTTCACGATGTCAATCTTTCGTTCTACTATACATTTCCAGTTTTAAAGTTGAAAAACCCAGTGGTAACAAATTTTTGATACAAAGCTCTCGGTAAATATTTGTTCAATATGGCTTTTCACAGGGTATATCTTTTTTCGGGTCAGCTTATTCGGGAGAGCTTATTTTAAAACTTGTAGGAACGTTTTGAGGTACTGAATAAAAGCGAAGAAACGCTTGCCATAAGGGCGTTGTCTTTTTCACTCTTAGGTTTGACTCCTGATGAGCTCTCACGCCTTGCTGTGTCTGGGACGCGAGGGTGGCTGGCGACTGACCATGTTACATGGGTGGTAAGTGAATTAAACACGATGCAGCAAGATACGCTGCTGTTGTGTCCGAACACGGTAGTCAACATCACAAACGAGATGGCCAGAAAGAGGAAAATTTTCAATTTTGGCATGCTGAAACGGCTTGTTTTGCCGCTTAATGTTGGTAAAGAAAATGGTCAGACCTTCATCCGTACCATGAATAAGTCACTGGGTTCTTGTGGTTGTTGAGATTCGACCATTCAAACAAATCCTTTATTGTGACACGTAAGCCTGGAAACCCCCATCAGACATTATCGATGTGGTCAACAGTTATATCAGTCACATTCCTCGTACTGGAAAGTATGATGATACGCACCTCTTCTTGGCTCACCACCCTATGGCTACGTCTCGGTTTGGCCATATGAGAAGAGTGGAGATGCCGCAACTATCCAATACAGACATGCTTTGACGTATGTGGAGTCATTGTTCTAATAATCGCAGCGCTGGCGGCCTTAGATTGACCCCTATTTCAGTTCTTGATTGGTCCCAGCGAGAAAAGTCAAGTCTATCTACAACGCCCAAGCCAGCATGCCTATTTTCTAAGGAGAATCATAATAATGTGTTGGTTTGCCGAAAGTCGCATTGAAATCAATTACGTGCTTCTGCATCATGATTGGCGCGATAACGTCCGTAAAGAGTCTGACCACTCCTCTTGCCTACGTCGGTTCACGTCCAGTAGCACAAGAAAAAAAGCTCAAGCTATCCCTAAATCCTAAAGCATCGTCCTCCAATGGATCAATTCCGAGAGAAACAGAGGAACATGGATCAGAAGACTATCCAGTTAATACTGCTCAGGTCTCCAGTGGTTTCTCTCCAATTCCCAACTCTCCAATGTCTTCAGAAGAAACATTCTCGCCACCACCAAAGACGCCTTCCTCGCCTAACGATTCATGTGCGGTTCCCTCATGTAAAAAAGGGTCCCAGTGATCATCTAGGAAACCTCGAAAGGTCCCAAGGTCCTCAGCTGATCTCTTATCGAGTGCAAAAAAGCCTCAGCCTTTTACGTGCCCAGATCCAACTAGTCCTGCACAGAACAATAATCCACAAGCTTGTCCACAAGCTTGTCCACAAGCTAACCCTTCTGAGAAGAGCGTCTCTAATTCCCCAGCCATCTCCCAGTACCGGGCCTCCGGCTCCGGCTCCAGCATCAACGCAACCAACTTCTCAAGGGACAATTGCGTATGATTCCTCTAACGCTGATTCAGCTGATTCAGTACCTCCTCCCAACTGTGAAGGTATGACCAGATTCCAGTGCGAACTTTGCGGAATGAACTTAAGCAGTAGAAACTGCTTATATAGACATAAAAACAGAAAACACAGGCTGACCAACAGAGTTGATGAAGATGGAGGAAAAGATGCAGGAAATAAACATGTCGTTTTTCCAGAGTGCAAAGAAAAACAAAAAAGGGGAGATGAACCAGCTCATTCCATCTTTCGGGACTAATATTAAAAAAAGTCATGATAAAACGACAAAATAGCATTATCGCCTTCAGGGAGACTTGAAATGCAAGGCTGAGTTATAATGAAGCACGGTGAATAGTTTATGACCAACGTAACAGTCCAAATCGATTGGCATAAGAAGAAAAAAATTGTCAAAGTAAGCACTGCTTTGCACCACTTCTTATAACTTTGGTAATGAGAGTAAAAGCCTTTAAAGTCGTCCTTCATAACTCAAGCTCATGAATAGCTCTTGTAACAATGGCACTACCAACAACTTTTGTTTTATTTTTTCTTTTACATTCGAAGGTTTGTCTATTCAGGCTTTGGCGCTTTTCTCTACTCTATTATCCAGTGCAACAAAGACAAAATGCTTGCAATGGCAGACAATCTTACAAACAAAATGAATAATTAATGCCATTATAGGTTATATATGTACTCTAGTCCATTGTAGGCCCTTATGTTTTCAACTATTTTAGTAATTATTATGTTCCACATAACTTGTGGTTAAGAGTTCCAATGATTTTATTTTCCTTGTCTCTCCAGATCAGCTTTTGCTACAACCGGCGATTTAATACACCACCTTAATAATCACCACGGTCACGAATTGAAGATTAAAAGCATTACGTTCAAAGACATGACAGAATTCGAGAAATGGAAGAATGAAGAAGAAAGGATGACAAAGAGCTGGTATGTAAAACACCGTGCTGACAGAAAGACTAAGCAGTACACAAAGTCATCGTTGCGATGCAATAGAACTGGCACGTTTGTCTCCAAAAGCACGGGAAAGAGAGCAATGAAATCGCAAGGATCTTGCAAGACTAAATGCTCATGCCCTGCCTTTATCACAACAAGAAAGTATCACGCAACAGGAGAGGTGCAAGCAGAGTTCTGTTTGAAACACGTTGGGCACAGACAGGAGAACGCCTTCAACAGAATGTCGAAGGAAATGCACACCACCATTGCAGCTAAGCTTTCTCAAGGTATAAGCATGACCTCCGTAATGGACTACATACGGGGCAGTATGTGTGGGCCGCTCAATAGGGATTACTTAATAACCCGTGCAGACCTACACAATATCAAGCAACAGTATAATATACACTGTATGCAGAAAGCTAGTGATGACACTGACAGTGTTCTCTACTGGGTACAAGAGATGCAATGCGAGGAATTCAATCCAGTTTTGTTCTTCAAACCACAAAGCCAGATATCCGATTTCAATGGTGTGGAAGAGAAAGATTTCCTACTGGCATTGCAAACGCAGTTCCAAAAAGAAATGTTTGAAAAACATGCTCAGAAATTAATATGCGTCGACACCACCCACGGTATAACGGCATATGACTTCCAGCTAGTCACAGTTCTTGTTACAGATGACTACAACGAAGGTATACCCGTAGCGTGGCTCATTAGTAACAAAGAAACGTCGGATGCTTTGAAGATCTTTTTTTCGAGTTTAAGAGAACGCTGTGGCGAAGTACAGACAGAAACGTTTATGAGTGATGACACAGACGCTTACTACAACGCCTGGGTTTCTACATTTTCGAGGCCGGACCGGAAACTGTTATGTAGCTGGCACGTCGACCGCAGCTGGCAACGAAAACTGAACGAACATTTGAAAGACAAGGAACAAATGGCCGAGGTATATGCCGCACTGAAGTCTTTACAGAATGTATTAGCCGAAAAAAGCTTCAGGCGTTCCTTGCAGCACTTCATGGCGTGGATCAAAGGCAAATCAAAGCCATTGGTTAAGTATTTCGAGAAAGAATACGTGGGAAGAACAAGGGAATGGGCAGCTTGTTTTCGGGTAGGATCACGGGCAAACACCAACATGTTCGTTGAGCACTTCCATAGAATGCTCAAGGAAGTTTACCTAGAAAAGAAACAAAACCATCGCGTTGATCACCTGATATTTAAGCTACGGAAATTGTCTCGAGATAAGGCCTTTGAGCAGCTCATTAAAGCTGAGAAGGGCAAAAATACCGTTAGACAACGTGAAAGTATCAAGCAGCACAAACAAGTGCAATTTTAATCAGTGAAGAAGGAAGTGGTTGACAAGCAGGATGAGAACTTCTGGAATGTTCAGTCGGCCTCTAATAAACAAACTGTGCATCATGTGAGAAGAATAAGTTCAGGTTGCTCATGCCTGCATGTTAAATTGCCCTTCCTTTGATGCTTGCGTACATACCTTTGAATGTTCTTGTGCTGATTATTCTATAAGGGGTGTGTTGTGCTCCCATATCCACTCTGTAAACATCCTCTACCCAAAAACCACAGCTGCTGATTTAGAATTTCCTGGTACAGAGCTGGAGACCACCAGTGACAGTGACATAGAGAAGAAACGCGAGGAGTTGTCTAATATTATTCAGCAGGACAAACAAGTCCAGGAAAGCAAACAGCTGGCTGACCTCAAAACATATGCACTTAATCAGATTGCTAAATTGAGTGAATTGATTCAGAGTGCCCCGACAAAAGACACCATAAATACAACATTGAAGCACATTCGATCTGCAATATCAGTGGCTAAGGGATTGTCTGTCATTGGATCTGACCATCAATACCTGGAAACACAGTTGTTTCCACCTAATAAACTGTATGAGAAGCAAAAGCACTTCTTTTCTAATTTGTCAGATGCCACTGCAAAGGAATTGGAGGACATGGAAGTCCAAGTGTGTGCATTTTGTTTCAAGGAAAACCCACCTGGTGAAGACAAGGACACATTTGAGTGGATAGAGTGTGAAAAGTGTCAATGCTGGGTGCATGAGGTCTGTGATTACATTGATGAGAAGGCAAACTACATTTGTTGTATGCGCCACTCTTGAACATTTCCGAAAAATAATTTTGTCTGAGTATTGTATAAATACTTCATTTCAGACCTCATTCAGAATCTCTAACCAGGACTCCTACTTTAATATGGATGGTCCGAAACAGAAGTCCATCTTCAGTGCCGGATCCAGACCTTGAGATAAAGGGGGGGAGGCCAGTCACCCAGGCCCTTAGACAAGAGGGGAGCATAACGGGGGGAGCCTGGTCCCCCCAAATTTTTTGGGCCCTTCAGCTCTCAGTTTGGTCTAAAAATAAGGGGGGCCCATCCCGGGCCCTTCAGGTCTCAGTTTGGTCTAAAAATAAGGGGGGCCCATCCCGGGCCCTTCCCCTGGATCTGCCACTGATCTTAAATGCGCAGAACAGGAACTTAACAGAGCATTTATAGTAAACATTGAACAAATGTCTCATGGCATTTTAGCGAGTTCATATTGACATTTGATCAGATAGAAATATTTTCAAGCAAACATTCCAGAACTTTTTTTCTTGCCCTTTATTGACTTTGTCACTGATCACAGAACTTAATGTGCAAAGCAAGGGGAGATGGAGTTAAAAGAACTCGGCAGTATAAATTACTAATGAATGCAATGATTAAATACTGAGTTCCCGTTGTAATATTATTGTTATAAAACGATCTATGTTACATGAAGACTTCAAGATGATTTCAGTCTGAGGTTATCTGACTGTTGAGGTGTCGTTGTTGGGAAATGAGTATAATTAAGCTCAACAAGAACAAATGCATTGTTGCTGAGATAAAATGAATACCTTTGATTAATTCTTTAATTACGTGCTTTACTTTGTTATAAAATCATAACTGTCTCGCCAACTATTACCTTTCTTGCACACCCTTCGGGGCAAATATTTTCCATTATACACAGGAAAACAACAAGATTACGCTTGAAACAAACAGGCCCTACATTATCACCTTATATGACGAGTGTTTTTTAACTGTGCGAGACGCATGCATCGATTAGAAAATGCGGACATTTCAAGCTTTGTTTGACGTTGTTGAAATCCTTTCGCGAACCAGACGACCAAGCATTTTTCGTCAGAATATTTACTTCGGAGAAGTATAAACGCTAATCATAAGCAGGCGTTAAAAGTACTTGGTATCAGCCCCTTTCAAGTGTTTTGATTAGTTTCCAGTTCATTTTCGGCTTGGGTCACGCGCTGTCGCTAATGGCTAGTGGCAAATAGCTGCAGTCCTCGGTGTTTGTCAGCCATTTTGTTTCCACTAGTTCCCAGGGAAGCCCGTGAGTTCAACACATGCGTATTTTGCGTATTATCGTCACGTGGGCCTTTTCAACCAATGAAAAGGTGTGAAAATTGTCTGTTTCCACGCGGGCGCTTACATGTCAAAGAAGACGAACTGTCAAACCGTGCGTTTTGCAAGAAGACGCTTCTTTTTACTTCAATTTAAAGTCTTTTTCCTGTCAGGTTCAACAAGAAGTATTCCTAACGTTGGTAAGTGAT